TAATCATTACTGTCATTTGTCGTTTGGATAAAATAGAAATATTTTGAATAGGTTTATTGTAATAATTAATAATTAATAAATAATAAGTACCTGCCTAATTATAGGTATGCCGTATTTTCATGATAACTGATAAGTAGTTCCTACTTAATTCGAAAACTGCAACAGATTAAAGTTTAATCCATATTATTCATTCTGATTAATGATTTTATTCTTCAAAAGAATTAAAACCTTGTTTTTTAGGAATAAAATACTGGGCATACGTAAACTTAAAAATTACCAAATTACCTCTTTTTTTGTAAACTGCGCCCGAATTTTTATCTTAGTTGAAAAGGTATAGTGTAAACTGCGCCCGAAATGCTATCTATGTTAAAAAGATATAATGTAAACTGCGCCCGACTAATAAACTTATTACATTTTCACTTATCAAAGTCTCTATGTTTGACGATTGTGTACTTTTTCAAGCTTTTAAACAACTCATCCAAATATTTTAATGTTCATAGAAAAGTTAAAAGAATTTCAAATAGAAGTATACATTAAACTAAATAGTATAAATGGACCGTTTAAATTCCAAAACTCTAAAACCAAAAAAAAACGCGAAAAGTTAGAAAATTTAATTAATAAATATAATAGTAGTCAAATTCAAATTGACGAATATGTATCCACCATATGTAATTATTTGCAATATTTATAATTATTTTAATTTTTAAAATTATATTTTATTTTTAATTATTCAAATTATATGGCTGTAACGAATTAAGTATTTGACTTGTATATTGTACACGGGCGCAGTTAACATGTCACCTTTTTACTTCTTGATAAAAACTCGGGAGCAGTTTTACATGTGTGATTTGGGTTTACCTGTATTTTGGGCCGCGTTTACAATCGCCGAACATACTGTCTCTGCTATAATAAGGGGTAATATTTAGGCAAATATGCATACTTGTTAATGCACCTATGACCTTAAGGGGATTGGAAGCGGCGATTTTCTGTCTTTGTCTAACACACGTGCAAAATAGGATTATAGACGTGTTCTATTTCCAACGTACCGATTAATCTAGAGAAGCGATAAGAATTCTGTAAACAGATTTGAATTTGGGCGTCACGTCTACTTGAGATCGACTTCCCCAAGTTTTGATATTTTGATTAAAACTTCTCCAAAAATTGAAATATGGCAATTTTTTAATTATTCTTTTTAATATATAATTTTTATGATTTTTGGGGGATAATATCAAAAATGTGGGAAAGTCGATCTCAAGTAGACTTGACGACAAATTCAAATCTGTTTACAGAATTCTTATCACTTCACTAGATTAATCGGTACGTTGGAAATAGAACAAGTCTATAATCCTATTTTGTACGTGTGTTAGACAAAGACAGAAAATCGCCGCTTCCAATCCCCTTAATCGTAAATTATAATGAGTGTGACTGTGTGAGTGCGGTTGTATACGGGTACCGGCGTATTATTATTTATTGGTTATTAGTTATTACTTATTACTTACTTATTAGTTATTACCATTGATTTTATAATATAAATAGTTACAATAGCAGTTACAAAATATTGAAAATACATAGGCCCAATTTTTTTTAAGATGAATTTTAAGTTCAAATTTTGATAACATTTATCATATTTAAAATTTAATAATTATTTTGCAGTTAAAAATTTGTAAAATTTTTAACTTATATAACTAAGGATTAAAAATTTAAAACAAGATTCCACGTAAATAGTTTATATATAAATTACTTTATTCACATAAAATATACTTAATAATATCATAGGCAGACTGACCGTTTTCGCTCAGAATCGTTTTTCTTAAACAATAATATTATACCTATCTAATCATTGAATTCAAATTGAACACCATCCATTATAGTGACTCACTTGTAACCTATATTGTATGTGTATTTCTGAACATTTAACTACCTATCTAAGGCAAAAAATATATGTATAATAGATAATTCAAATGTCAAACAGATGTGAAATTAAAAATACAAATATTTAAAAATATGATAAACAGGCAACTGCTATTATAATTTATAATAATGTATTCGTTTTAAAATTGTTCAACCATTTTTAAGTTTCATAATATAAAAGATCTATGGTTAACACTTGTACTATTACACTTGAATATTACAATAAATAAGTTTAAATTAAATTTGATTTAATCATACAATTACAAAAAAATAGTTATTAATATAAATTGTTAAAGACACAATAACTTATTGTTATTTAAATTACAATCTAAGATACAGAGGGTTTGAATACAGGATATATAACGGGTCCCTAACGTATGTACAGAGGCGGAGTTACAAGTGGGTTTTTCACCTGTTTTTACGCACAAGCGCCACTGAAGGTTATATCTTGTTTGTTATAGTGGGAGAGCTAGTAACTGAAAAAGTTGGAAAAAATCACCAGTATTAATCATTGTTTTTGTGGGAAACACTCCGCCACCCGGCAACCCTAATACTGTGGACAAGCCTATTTATCTCATAAATGTGCTTAAAAACCATTGTATAAAAAAGTCAAAATATTGTAAAAGTTTTTCTTAGTCTTAACTATTTAGTTAATGAATGTGTTTTATTATACTTCCAAAAGAGTTGACTACAATTTACAATAGTTACAAACAATTTTAAGATCCAGATTCTGCTGAGTTTTGTATACAGAGTGATATTTTTATCATTTGAACACTCATTATTCAAAAAAGTATTAATGTTTAAGAAAATATTTTTTTACATAGTTTCAAGTTGTTAAAAAACAATATTTTATTAAAAATTATATTTTTTATCCTTTTAATTTTTAAATTTTTTAACTTTTTTGAATGACAACATGTAATTTAATTTGATATCAAAAACAGAATATTTTTCTGAGTATTTCAATACATAAAAATTGAATTTAGGGCAATTAGTTTATGAGTTATAAGTATTTAAAGTTTAGATGAGCGGAGTAGTGTGATACGGGGTTACCCCGCGAAATGTTTGTCCACTACTCCGCTCATCAAAACTTTAAATACTTATAAGTAGTTATAACTCATAAACTAATTGCCCTAAATTCAATTTTTATGTATCGAAATACTCAGAAAATATTCTGTTTTTGAATATCAAATTAAAATTACATGTTGTCATTCAAAAAAGTAAAAAACTTAAAAAATTAAAAGGATAAAAAATATTTAAAAATATTGTTTTTTAACAACTTGAAACTATGTAAAAAAATATTTTCTTAAACATTAATACTTTTTGAAATAATGAGTGTTCAATGATAAAAAAATCACATTGTATATTCCTGTATAAGCTAAAATATAGTTTAATATAATTTAATGTTAAGAGGACGTGATACCCGCATGTGTAGTCTCCGTCTTACAAGTGTGTAACATACCAAATTCTAAGCAAATCAGAACAAGTATAGCTCCGTCAGTTTAAAAATTGGAGTAAATTAACCTCTTATAAAATCTAAAGGTAAGATTATTATCTAGACAACCTCATGGGATTTTTATTATATTTTAATTTTTAAGCGAGCTATGAGTATTTTAGAATTGTAAATTGTTTATAGATCTTAAGCTACTCATAACTAGCTTAAAAATTAAAACATTAAAAAAATCCCTTGAGGATGTCTAGACAATAATCTTACCTTTTGATTTTATAAGAGGTTAATTTACTCTAATTTTTAAATTAACAGAGCTACATATGTTTTGTTGAGCGTAAAATTTGCTATGCTATGTACTTGTAAGACAGAGACAACACATGCGGGTATCATGTCCTCTTAAGAGGACGCCACACTCGCATGTGTTGTCTCCGTCTTACAAATGTACAACATAGCAAAAACTCTTTTGCGAGGGACAACTTTTCTCGCACCATATTTGTTGTAGAACTACCAAATTTTCACAGCATTTAAAGAAGAACTTTATCTGTGAAATCTTCCCATATTTTAAATAACATATATACAATACAAGTTATTTGCTTCTAAACATTTGGTTTTTTCATTTGCTTATAAAAAATGATTGGATGGTGCTATTGAAAAAAGAGCACGCTGTTGCACAGATAAAGTTCTTCTTTAAATGCTGTGAAAATTTGGTAGTTCTACAACAAATATGGTGCGAGAAAAGTTGTCCCGCGCAAAACAGTTTTTGCTATGTTGTACATTTGTAAGACGGAGACAACACATGCGGGTGTGCGTCCTCTTAACGTAAAACTCACAAAATGACTTTTAATGTCAAAATATAATAAAGCTTTGTTTTTGGTTTTATTTTTTGCTCTTATTGCTATTATAGTTTGCTTATTATTTTAAGTATCATAAAGTATCTAATGGTCTTGTATCTCTATCAATGCCACTATAAAATGTATTAAATGCATAAAATAAATGTATAAACAACATGATACCCAAAATAAGCAAAATACTTGAAATATTAAAAAAATATATTTAATAATATAAAATATGAATAAAGAAACAACATACAGTGTCTTTGTGTCCTACTGACCTGTGTTAAAAGGACGCAAAACCGCGAAACATACAACATAAATAATTTTCGGTTAGAAGGCTTGTGCTGTCAAAGTGAGGCTTACATATTAGTTATCAGCAAACTTCAAGGCAAGAATATTATCTGTTTTCTGCGTTTTTATGTCGGTTGTATAGGATATTTTAATTTTTTAACAAAGAGGAAATTTAAAGAATTTTTAAAATTTCCATAATTTACTAAAGGTACCCAACTATTGACAATCATTCTTAAATATTGAAATATCGTAAACAACTGACGTGCAGACATAGATAATATTCAATTAAGAACAATTATATACCTGGATTCATAAAAACAAATAAATAGTTTTAGAAGAAAATATAAAATTAAAATCTTGTATGCATTATATAAAATTATAAAAATCAATATTTAATATGTACAATATTATTTGTAATTAACTATAATAATTATTTACAAATTTCTATTTTTGGATGTTATTTAGATTTAAATTTAAGTGCATTTTATGGTTTGCTATAATATTTATAAATTGTTCTCTTATGACTGTGCTTCTGTTGGGTTTTGAATGACAATCATAATGAAATCTTTATCTGAAAAATCAAATTATAAATACATTAATATTAATTCAGCTCATAATAAAATTATGTACCTAAAACACTATTAAATTGTATTAAATATTTTTTCTATACAAATTATTAGTTTACATACATACTAAAATATTAAATTAACATGAAATATTATTCAATAATAGAAAAATACTTAGTTACTAATTTAAGATTCTCATGCACCATAACTTGACAAATACTTATTTAAGTAGTGTACATGTTTTGTCGTAAGTGGTATCAAAAAAATAAAACTCTTGGTTACAGATTAAGTTCTTCCCTATGGGCAGTGTAGGGTAAGTTACTTTACTCGTTACTTGGAGATAAATGTAATTAAGTTACTTTACTCGTTACTCAAATAAAATTGTAATGAAATAACTTTACTTTTCAAATAGAAAATTAACTCATTACTTTCTAGTTACAAAAAAAAATCTTTAAATTTTTTTTTAAAAATTTCTCGGCAATTATTATTCTGCAGGCAATAATGTAACTTTTTATAGAAATACATTACCTATAGTAAAAAGGTATAATTTGAAAAAAATTTACAAAAAAAGAAGATGTACAGTTTTACATATTTACATGACAATAGTAATTACTTATGAGTTATGGATAATAAAAAAATAGAACTAATTAATTGTACCTATTTATCAATGGTAATTAATTATTATAGACATAGTTAAGTATATGATGTATTTATGTCACATACTCATAACATAAACCTTAGGTATGTGAAAATTAAATCATAATATATATAGTTCTTATCCAGACTTTGTCACGGATAGTCGTTTATTTCGTATGCTCCGTTATCTCAGTTTCCTTACATAACAATTATATCTTATATGTGCGTTTCTCTCTAGACTTAGATTAGATATCAAACAAAATTGTTTTAGTGCTGTATGTTTTACTTTTATTTTAATAATATTAAATAATCAATTTAAAATGCAATCGTGTGTTAAATGCCAGGAAAAATTAAAACATGAGTAAGATATACTTGAATGTTCAATATGTAAAGATATAACTCACTTTTATTGTGTTGGATATTCTGAGCAAAACTTTAAGAAAATGTCGAACAATACGAAAAATAGATTTACCTGTACAAACAAAACTATTACAAGCAAGTCTCCAAAATCAAACGCTGCTGAAAAAAATGTTGGTTCTTCAATGGAAAAAAATATTGAAGAACTTATGAAGTCGGTATCGTTTATGAGCGAACAGTTTGATAAGTTTAGTAACAAACTTGACAATGTAATCATTGAAATAAAAAATATTAAAATTGAAAACGAGAAAACTGTAACAGAGAATAAACGTCTATCGGAAGAAGTTGATATATTAAAATCAAAAATTGATGAAATAGAACAGTACAACTTAGGAATATCAGTAGATATTACTGGTATACCGAAAACTCAAAATGAAAACTGTAAACAAATTGTTGAAGAAATTGGAAAGAAAACAAATACTGAAATTGATGTTATTGAAGCCTATAGAATAAACACATCTATATCTAAACGCAGTTTAATTAGCAGTTTAGTAGCAAAGTTAGCTACATTTGAAATGAAAAAAATTTAATTCGCAACGTGAAGTCCAATAAACTAACAACCGACAAAATGAGTAATGGTTGGCCCAAAGAAAATATTTATGCGAATGAGAGACTCACGAAACTCAGAAGAACACTTTTTTATCAAACGCAAGCTGCTACAACAAAAGAATACAAATTTTTCTGGGTGTCCAATGGGGATATTCTTGTGAGAAAAAATGAAAACTCAAAAATCGTAAAAATCAAGTCATCTCAAGACATCAATAATTTGTAGTTAGTACACATATAATTTTAGTACCGTTACAAATGAAATATATAATTTAAACTAAATGAGTATGAATCTATCAAATATTGATCAACTATTAAAATTAAATAATATTAAATCAAATTATGTAGATTCTATACCTAACATCACATTACTTGATGATACCTTCTCTATTTTTCAAATCAATATTAGTAGTATTAGTGCTCATTTTAATGATCTGACTATTTTATTAAGTTCAGTGAAAAATTATTTTAATATTATTATCCTGTGCGAAACATGGCTTTTATATGATTATGGATTTAAATTAAATGGTTACAAAACTATAAATTCGTTAGGAACTTTAAATAAGAGTGATGGTGTTACTGTCTTAATTAGAGAATCAATAAATATATTAAAAATTAGAAAACAGGTCTTATTAAATTGTAATTCAATACAACTCATAATTAAAATAAATGAATTAATATTTTCACTAATATGCATATATAGATAGTCAAATGATAACTTGGAATCTTTTCCAGGATCTTTTAGACCTTTTCTTATCACAAATAAATAAACAACATATAAGAAGTATTATTAGTGGAGATATCAATATTAATATAATGAAAAATACAAATATTAGTAATGGTTATTTAAATATTATGGCGAGAAATGGATTTTTTACCTTGTATAAATAATTTCACTAGAGTGACTAATCACTTGAAAACTTGTATTGATTATATTTTTATTAATAACATAGATTCTAATAAAATTAATTCACATATTTTAAGGTGCGATATAACAGATCACTATGCTACAATTTTGACATTATCCAATGTAAATAGCAACAAAAGTTACAATCATAATAACAATTTTTCAAATAAAATAGACTTTAATCATCTAAATGTATTGATTCAAACTGAAGATTGGTATGCTCATTTGAATAGTGACAATGTAGATATTATGGTTGAAGTTTTGAATACTAAAATAAATGGATTTATAAAATACTCATTTATATCTAAAAATAATAATTACAAATCAAATAAAATTGAAAGAATGGATTACAACTCGTTCCCTGCTAAAATAAGATCCAGGCCTATGATATTAAATTAAAGCAATACTATAAATTGTATAGAAATATATTAAATAAAACTGTACGACAATCTAAACAATTATTTTATCAAAATAAACTAAAACACGCTCAATCTGATTCTAAATTAGTTTGGAATATAATAAATGAGGTCATTGGAAAACCGAGTCAGGTTAAGAATAATATCAACATGATAAGAAATAAAGCTGGTATTACTATAAACCAAACAACTGAGATATATAATGAACTAAATGATTTTTTTGTCAATGTAGGAAAAAATTTAGAAGTAGAACAACTAAATCAATATAAATTATTTCCTAATGAGAATAACAATATTATTAATGATAGTATATTTTTAAAACCTATTGATAAAGGCGAAATTAACTCCTTAATAAAATTAAAAATTATAATTCATATTTTGAAAATGATCTCACGAATTATATACTCAAAAATGTTTCAAATTCAATTTCTTTTCCCTTATCAATTATCTTCAATAAATCTTTAACAACTGGTATCTACCCTAAAACATTTAAAAAATGCGTTGTTATACTTTTATTCAAATTGGGTGATAAATTATTATGCAGTAATTACCGACCAATCTTACTATCTTTAACCTTATCAAAAGTCCTTGAGTAATGTATTAAATTTAGAGTAATTGACTTCTTAGAAAAAAAATATTTTTTTTTCAAAATCACAATTTGGTTTTAGATCTGGCTTAACAACTAATGATGCTCTGTATAAAGTTGATAATTTTGTTAGAAGTAACTTAGATAAAAGCAATAAAGTTATGGGTATTTTTTTGGATGTATAAAAAGCTTTGATTGTGTAAACCATGAACTACTACTAAAAAAATTAGAAAATTATGGAATACGTGGAGTATCAAATAATCTATTAAAATCTTTTCTGAGTGTTAGGACTCAAAGAGTTAAATGTTATGAATATTCTAGTGAAGATCTAAATGTGACTTGTGGTGTACCTCAAGGCACTGTTCTAGGTCCCTTATTATTTATCATATTTATAAATGATCTACTAAAACTGAAAATAAATCATAATACAGAATTATTAAGCTTAGCTGAAGATACAGCTATTCTGCTACGGAACTAACCGTTGATAGACTATACAGGGTGATTTTTTTATCGAAGAACACTCATTATTTCAAAAAGTATTAATGTTTAAGAAAATATTTTTTTACATAGTTTCAAGTTGTTAAAAAACAATATTTTTATTAAAAAATTTTATTTTTAAATATTTTTTATCCTTTTAATTTTTTAAGTTTTTTACTTTTTTGAATGACAACATCTAATTTTAATTTGATATTCAAAAACAGAATATTTTTCTGAGTATTTCGATACATAAAAATTGAATTTAGGGCAATTAGTTTATGAGTTATAAGTATTTAAAGTTTAGATGAGCGGAGTAGAGTGGTACGGGGTTACCCCGCGAAATGTTTGTCCTCTACTCCGCTCATCTAAACTTTAAATACTTATAACTCATAAACTACTTGCCCTAAATTCAATTTTTATGTATTAAAATAATCAGAAAAATATTCTGTTTTTGAATATCAAATTAAAATTAGATGTTGTCATTCCAAAAAGTAAAAAACTTAAAAAATTAAAAGGATAAAAAATATTTAAAAATATAATTTTTTAATAAAAATATTGTTTTTTAACAACTTGAAACTATGTAAAAAAATATTTTCTTAAACATTAATACTTTTTGAAATAATGAGTGTTCTTCGATAAAAAAATCACCCTGTATAATGAAGCAAATAAAATATTAAATACGGTTTATGCTTGGTTCTGTAAAAATAAATTAAAATTAAATCTTATGAAACCAAAATATATTTGTTTTACACAGCAACCATCAAATACATTAATACAAAATAACCTAATAGTACATTCTTTAAAATGTAATAAAACTACAAATACAGTTTGTGATCCTAAATGTATTATACTAGAAAAAGTACAGGAAATAAAATATTTAGGGATAATTATTGATTATAGATTTAAATGGGGAAGTCATATAAATTATTTAAATAACATGCTACGTAAATTCTTCTATTTCTTCAAAGATGCAAGATATATATTTAATATTTAATAAATACTATAAAAGAATAATTTTCTTATCACTAGTACAATCAATTTATACTTACGGGATATCAATTTGGGGTGGAGCCTCAAAATATATTTTAACAAAACTTATTGTCACTATAAATTGTATTATAAAACTTACTAAATTTACCAATGAATACTAGCACTGAATTGATTTATAATGAATTTAATGTAAAAAATCTTAATTGTAACTGTCGGTTCTAGTTGATATATATAAACATAAAAATTTAATTCCTAAATTAGATCATGAGCACAAAACTAGATATAAGCAAAATATTAATATACTTGTACCAAATCTTAGTATTTGGTCAACGAAGCATCTTATATACACGTTTATATTTATGTCGTTCACTAAATACCTATCAATATAAAAAATTATAAAGATGTTAAATATTTCAAAAAATATATAAAACAATTAAATTTATCAAATTTGTAAATTTTATTTATTTTAATAATATTACAGTTATTTATGTTAAATATTATTATTGTAAATTTATAATATTTATTCTCCTCTCTTCGTACTTATGTTTTAATTATTAATTATCAATTATGTTAACATTATTATATATTTGTAAATCCTATTTCTATTAATTAATTAGAAAACCTTGTATATATTTATTTAATCTACAAGAACTGTGCCCCCAGCACAAGCTTTGCTTAAAGGGGGTACTGCAATAGTGCAATATATTAATCTAAATTTTGTAAAATAATTGTATGATATCCTTACGTTGCTAAAATAAATTATTATTATTATTATTATTATTATTATTATTATTAATATTATATATAGAACACAATAATAATTTATAAAATTAAAAAAATAAACCGTTTATAAAAGCCAAAATATGGCTATAATATTTTATAACAGTACAATGTAAATATTTTGATTTTATTTAATTTTCAGAAAAATAATGTTATATTCTAATGTAAATTCTAAATATAGTAATAACTAATAAGAATTTTCAAATTAAACAGTTTTTGTACAACTTTAAATTCTTTATAAAACCTGTATTAGGACTACTATAAAACTTTAGTCTACGCTAGATATTCATAGGAAACATTCTGTGAAGATACCTACAGGCTACTACCTATCTATTTAGAGGAATCAAATTAAATAACAAATGGAATTAACTGTTCTCGTGATTTACGGTGCAATTCGACATGTCAAATGTCAAAACCATTGAAAACTGAATTGTGACGAGTTATAATTAAATATACATACATATTAAATTGTTAAACATAATAATACTAGCATAGACATTTTTTCAATTCGCAATAGGTAGGTAGGTTCTTTATAATTTGAAACTGTAATGCATTATTTTATAGAAATTACTTATCAAAAGTAATTTCCATTACATTTTCGTTACTTGGAAATAATTTAAAGAAATTTCGTAACACCGTTACAGTAACGTCAAAATATTAAAAATATTAAAAAGTTAAGGGTAAATCCACAATAATTAATAATTATTTATGAGCGTCTGAAGTTAAAATATTGAAAACATTTGTCAAATCATGAAAATGTGCAAGTAATTTTGAGTTAGAAATTCATACATTTTTTATTTAAGTATAAAAATTAAAACTTTAATATTAGATTCATTAAAGTTTTTCTACGTTTTATTTTAAACAGAAATTTTACCAAAAAGTCAAATATAATATAATATTTTTTTATGAGTATTTTAAGTTCAAATGGTTTTAACAAATTCTCATCAAATTATTTTCTTATTTTGTTGTAATTCAAATATCTAAATACTTAAAAACTAGAAATTTTCACCAAATGTTTATTTTATCATTTTATATACAAGATTAAATTTTCAAAATATTATTACTCATTTTGAGCCATTTATAGACATTTTCAATTCATTATTTTTTGGTTGGGTCAAAAAGATTGAAAATATAATATTTTTTTATAAGTTATTTTAATAATAGTTGAATAATATTAAGTAAAATATATGAGTATGATTTTTATTTCATAAGTATTTTAAGTTCAAATATTTACAAAATTCATCATAATCTTGAGAATTGGCAAATTGTTTTATAGGTACCTAGTTAAAAATTTATAAATTGTGGATGAAATTAGATATTTGAACAAAGAATCACAATTTTAGTTATTTTGATGTAATTTAAAAATATTATTCTTGGATATTTGAACTTTTAAAATATAATATTAATTAATTATTATTTGTTATACACAATTATATTTTCAAATACATTTTTTTTTTTATTTTTTATAATTTTGTTGTGGGTAAAACATAGCTGTTTTTCTTAAGGGACCACATTCTTAAGTGTAATACATTTTTTAGATTCTGAGGTGAGCGATGAATATATTAATATAAAAATTAAGGAAAAACGGGAATTTTTACTCGAAATTGATTTTGGTTTTTTGGTCGAACTCTAAACAAATGACAGTAGATACATGAAATTGTCACTGGTTTTTTATATTAGAATTGTCTTTAAACTATAAAATTTTCAAAATATTTGGATTTGTTTTGAACTGTTTACGAACATTTTCAGTTTCTGTTTATTTTTTATCTATGCTGGTCAATAAAATGTTATTTGTTGGCTAAAACAGCTTGAACATTTAATATAAGCCTAATCAATTTTCCTAACCTTTCAATTCATTATTTATTGGTTGGGTCAAAAAGCTTGAAAATTTAATACTTTTTTATAAGTTATTTTAATAATAGTTGAATAATATTAAGTAAATTGTATGAACATGATTTTTTTTTCATAAGCATTTCAAGTTCAAATCTTGACAAAATACGGAAAAATCGCATAAATGAGCAAATTATTTTGAGTTTAGAATTCATAAAAATTTTTCTTTTTAAATCTAAGATTTGAAAATATAATACAAGATTCCTCATAAGTTTCACTACCTTTATCAAAAAAAAAATGTCTAGGAGAAAATCAAATTAAATTTGTAAAAAAGTTCATATTTTTACAACATTTTATATTTTTTCATGCAGCAATTTTGTTATTTTGTTGTAATTCAAAAACAAATAACTGTAGATACATGAAAATTACACTGAATGTTTATATTTTTATTTTCTATACACCATAAGACTTTGAAAATATTTTGATTTGTTCTAAGCTATTTACTAAAATTTTCAAATGTCAATTTTTTATTTTTTTTTTTACTATAAATATTAATAAAATGTTTTTTGTTTGGCCAAAAATCATGAAAATGTAATACAAGGCTTGCTCCTGATATATTGTTACAATAGCAGTTAAAAAAATATTAAAAATTTAGGCACAATTTGTTTTTATAATCATTTAAAGTTTGAATGTTGACAAAATGTATTAAATCTAAAATTTAAAAATTATTTTGTAGTTAAAAATTTATAAAATGTTCAACTTTTATAGCTAGGGATTGAAAATTTAAAACAAGGTCCACGTTAATAGATTATAATGTATCAATTACTTTATTCGCAATAATATCATCAAATATGCGACACCCACTTGCCCACCTCTTTTATTTGTTATTTGAGTAACAAGTAATAACTAATGATCAGATTTTTTTTAAATAATTCTGGAAAAAAAGTTAAATAAAACTGGAATTTTAATTCAAGATCAGGTTTTTGACAATACCAATTTGGTTTTTCGGTGAAACTTAAAAACTAAAAACCACAGATTCTAAAATTCATCATATTTAAAATATTTTGTAGGTAGTTAATAATGTATGAATTCTTCAACATTTTTAGGTAAGGATTGAAAATTTAGAATGAGGTTTTTTATAAGTAGTTCATACTGTAATCGAAAAATATATAAGCACAGTTTTAATTTCAAATTTAAAGTTCATATGTTATTTCGTGTTTGATAAATAGTGATGAGTGGCTTTTTTAGATTATAGATTTAAAACTTGCATTGTTAAATAATGTGTTTAAAACAGGTCTCGCAATTTGAAGAAAACAATTTGTTTCATTTTATTCACAATTAAAACATAATCCCATTTTTCCTTTTATAATTATTTAAAATTAAAACAAAACTTTTTAACATTATACAAATATTATGTTTATAGTTAATTAGGATTGATATGTTATTTTCCCAACATTTAATACCTATTTAATTTTAAAATAATAACTAATGTGAGGAATACATTTACCCAGATACGGAATACATAAAATATTCTGAGGTTTTTTGTTAAGACAAAAATAAATTGCATGAAATAAATATATTTTTTTTTCATATGATGATATTCTATCAATTACGTATTGCGTTTTGTTTTGTTTAATAATATATTATATATTTTGTTAATTGTTATGTTTTGTTTTGTGGTATTTAATTATGTTTGTTCATAGTATTCAGTTATAATTACAATTAATATCTATTGTCGCCTACAAAAAAAAAAAATTATCAGTCCGTACATGGATAATAACAATGTGTAATCACCGGCATCAGTCAAAATGCTTCATCAGTCAATATCTTACTTGCCATTTAAAATATAAAAGAACATTTGAAAATGAGTTTCTTTTTAAATAGTCATGAGATATTTTACAACTTTTATACTGTTATACATTATCATACCAATTATAAGATTAGTTACTAAGGGAATATTCTATATACTTCAAAGAATATGCAGAAGAAAATCCATAGTAAGGGAATCTACATACTGTCAAGATGAAAGATGTGTACCTACATATTTACAATCCATTCACTTTCAATTTTTGGTTATATTAAATAAAAAATATTCTCATAATATTATATATTGATGGTAGTTATATTATTAAAACAAGAATAGGGCATAAAAATACACTAAGTACCTATAATCTGTATAATTTTAATATCAATTGTTCAATCAAATATGGATTTATACAATAAATGGTTTAAATCTAATTTAGCATCTATACAAATTTTTAATTCTTTTTCCGAAAACCCATGTATTAAAACGAGTTAAGAATGATGGTGCAAAAATTAATTGGTGATACATGAATTAATTATTGATTATTGATTTAATAGAAGAAATACATTTGATGAAATTTACCTGGTGCCACCATTATCTCATGTTTTTTAGTACGCATCCTCAAGAACATCAAATCGTTAGACGGATCCAAATCTCTCACAACACTCCTAGCTTTATCAGCTAACTGTTGTATCAATCCAGCGTATTGGACCGAAGTTGAATTGTCCAAAGTCGACTTAATAGGAATGCCTAAAAAAACGTTATTATTAAACTTCTACTATAGCCAATAGGTGTAGAAATAGTTGAAGAATACGAACCTTCGTTATTTACTACAATTGTACCGATGACTCCACGGTGAGATTGAATGCGTTTCAAAGTATCTTCAACTTCGCTGGCCATTTTTAATTCTGAAAGAAACTTGTGTGTAATTATTGATCAAACAACAACAAAATCTTCAAAATGGTTACTAGTATAAATATAGGTTAAAATAATATCAACAATATCGCGAATAGATAATCTATTGATATAATAAATAAAAATATTGTATTCGTCACGTACAGAATAGGTATTCCAATGTTTATAATATGATGTAATAAAATAGCGGAACGCCAAAACGCAAAGTAAAACTGTATGGGTAATACTATAATATTATGTTTCACTTTTTATAATTTTTGTCGAAAAAAATTAATGGTAGACAAACTACAACAGTAAACAGAAGCTCGAATACTGATTATAATGTATGCTGTTATCTATTTCATTGTATACGATCTAGAGTTTCGATACAGCTGATTACAGACTTCCACCCGGCAAACACTCGCCACGATAATAAATTGATAGGCTACAGACATTTCAATAATATTAAGAAAATTTTATAATTTCGAAAACACATCAGTTGTTGAACTTTACAATTATACAAGTCGGTTAGAATGAAATATGAATGAGTTCGTCATGCACGCACCTTTACTTTTATTCCATAAGCGATACTCTTGTTTCGAATCCGCAGCGTTTTCCGTCGAATTAAAAACGCATTGGTTTGAATCGGATCAGCTGTACAAGACGGGCGATATTAAATGTTATCAACAGGAGTTTTACAGTTAATTTTCAACTTTTTTAATTTATTTAAAAATTTAAAAATTGATAAAGAAGAGTACGAAAGTACTACGAGAGTTCATGGCCGAAACTCGAGTCATATTGGTTTTGCGACTAGTTGGAGATCGAGATTTTCTTCCTCACTGAAGTGACGATGATGCCATTTTTAGAAGTACCTATCCAGTCTATAGATTAAGATTAAGGTATGTATGATAAACGAAAATTCAAGTTATGGTAAGATTTCAATCATGACAATTAAATAAGTATTATATTCCACCTGTTCTGGCTTTTCAATAAAATGTATTCATCAAATGAATAACATAAGTTTTGCATCTTATATAAGGAAATACAACTGATAGGTAATGTAATATACTGGTAGTTCAGATGACTACTTGTGTATCAACGTTGCAGGTAGCTAGACCATTTTGTTATGACAACGAGGTAGTAGTTGAATAATTTGAACACAATTGTAAACTATACTGTTGTTTATTCAATGTTCCAGTAAATCATAAATGGTGCTAAGTCCAAATAACAATCGCTACACAGAGTCTCGTGAAGGTGCTTGTAGTAGAAATGAATGGACACGTCTGAATACAGGCCATTTCGGGGTCCCTCTTATAGTCCGGTCCACGCTCCTCTTGCTTAGTGATATCGTATCTCGGTCCTCACGGATGTGGTCCTTGTGGCTATCGACCTAGCCCACACACATGCGAAATTCCTAATCTATTCTGCGTATTACTATAATGTACTGATAGTTAATTTATTAGCTACCAGTTTAATAATAATATATCGTTATATTTTTTATATTGAATAACGCTTTCGCGAATATCACATCCACCCATTCTATATGATTGCGAAATCGTGTTACTCTGTTGTGGTATTTTTTTTGAATATTGTTTCCCTCTGGGCCAATAATTGATTAATTGTAATTTTGTTTATCCTTTTGTTTACTAAGCTTCCCATGGGTTGTTTGATTATTTTGTATCAAAATATAATCGAAGGTTAATTAGCCAATTTCTACTTGTAATATTTATAGTTATTACGAGGGCTTTGCACCGGAATCATTTTTTCGGGTTTCGGGTGTTGAAAAAAAATTCGGGTGTTACGGGTTAATACACTTTCCTGGTTACGGTTAAATGTAAATTTATTCGGGTTAATTAGGGTTAATTCTAGTGTTCAAAGAAAAAACCATGTTGTGTATCAATTAACATGAGATTTTCAATACAAATTTGATATAGTAATTGGATTTTATTTTTAAAGTAAACATAATGAAGAAAAATTTAAAAATCATATTAAATTAATGCTTATTACTTAGTACTTACTCAGTCCTTTTTCTACAGAAGAAAGTTCTCGTTTATTAAATATTTTGACTAAACATAATATTTTTATTATATTTTTTGATTAAAAAGGTTAGACAACACAATTTAGTATTAATAATTCTGGCTATTATTGAATATTGTAAAATAAAATAAAACAATGATCTAGCATCCAGGTCTTTTTAAATTTTTATTTATCTATTTAATAAATACTTAACACTTTTAAGTTTTAAATTTTAAGAATACATTAGTAAATTAATAATTTCTTAACAATTAACATTTTTAATTCTTAAGTTTTAAACTTTTAACAATAGAATATGTACATATATACATTAATGAATACTTAGCACTTTCAAGTTTGAAGTTTTTACAATAAAAAATAACAAAATACAAATAATAATAAATTTAATTATTAAAATTTAAAACAGTAAAATATTAAAAACTAAATGATTATTATTTAATTGTATCAAATATCTTATTGCATTGAATAATCATAATTTTTTCTAGCATGTCACTTGTAAGTGACATGCGCAGATCCGATGAAACAAACTTTAACCCCGAGAAACAACGTTCAACGGACACCTATATAGTATATAGTTATTTCTATTTTAATATTTTCTAATAATTAATAAATAATAATTATGTATCATAAAATGGGGTGGATAGAAACAAATGTAGATGTAAAAACTAAAATTTGTTACTTTCATGTCCACCTCATGTATTATCAATATATTAAAATATATTTCTTAGATATTATGAATTGTCAAACAGTAGGTACAAAATTAAAAATTACATACAATAAAAATAAAAATCATTATATAATTTATATAATCATTATATATATTGTGTTAAAAATACTATAAAAACTTTTTGAAACAAACTAGGTAAAACATTTTAAAAATAAGGTTAACCAATTAAATAATACAAGATGAAACATACTAAAATATCTGTTTTCTGCCATTGATCATCACTTACATCCAATTCTTTAAATGTATCTGAGACATCATTACATACATCTTTTAACTCTAAGAGACTCCACATAAATGCGATTGGATAAATTTGTATAATTTTGTCCTATATTTTTATTACACGAACCTTAATAGTTGTCTGTTCATAATATTTCTTCTTTTTTTCAATTTCTCTCGATTCCACAGACAAATATTTTGCAAAAAGGCATAATGTAAACTTTCGATATTCCGCTCTAAATTTTTAGCATGCTCGCCTACAAGATCTTGTCCACAAGACTCTATTAGGCATTCTGATTTTCCTGTCGAAATATTAAACTTAAAATATTTATGAACAGGAGAAGTTCTTTTTCTTCCCATTTCTATCTATAAAGTATAAAGTATAATGATTATTAGGTACCTATGATACATTTATGAAAGGCACAACATAACAAAAATGAAATATACTTACTTAATGAGTTTATGGTAAGTAAACTGGTGAAGACTAAATAAGACTAATAATTTTCAATTTTGTGTTATATTATTTAATATTTTATATTCAGTTATCTGTTTATCTGTACACATGTTTGGTTTTTGAACAATCAACAATGAATAATGATAAATATTAAACGCGCACGCTAAATAGTAAATATCGTTTAGGTAAATATACAGTTTGGTCACTATCGATAAAACCTATTATTGTTTTATCGATATAATAACTTGTCTTTGTCGTCACTGATTGGTTCATTAGTGATTGTTTCATTCTAGCTACTATCTCCTTATCGTCTTAGATGCATTAGTTGCAGAAAATACATACAAATTGATATGCCACTTAATGTTTAATAATTCGGGTTTTGGGTTAACCCAAATATTTCATAAGGGTTTCGGATTATTTCGGGTGTTTTACCGGTGTTGATTTTTTCAATCGGTTTTCTATATACGAATTTCGGGTTATGCTATTTATTTGGGTTAATTCAGGTTTCTGGTTACGTTCGGGTGCAAAGCCCTGGACTTATTACCTATCTACAATTCACTATACTAAATATGTTATCTGTTGGGACTCGCTTTCTACAGAAATTATCGGTTTTTCAATGTTGAAATAAGGCTTAATCAATAACTAAAATCCTATCATAAATTAAAAGTTTTACAAAATATTTATAATTTTATTAAGATCTAAACAATAAGCATTATATTATATGATTATATAACATTCTTTCTAAAAAATACTTTGACTATAATATATGTAATAGTAGAAATTAAATATTAATTTTTTTAATCAATTTCCAGATTTGTACTACATATTGTGTTTCAAGATGGATCAATCTGTATGGTCAAAAGATGTACATTTTCACCTCATTAACGTCAATTTAAAAATACCCAAACTATTATTTGAACGGTAAATTATTATTATGTGTAATATATTTTATAAGTGTAATGCATTGTTTACTTAACCACTAAGTAACTGTTCCATATAAATATATTGTTTTATTCAATTAATTAATACAAGATAATTATTCTTTGTAATAAGTATAGTATATTATGATAGACATTAATGTATACCTGCTAAAATAGTTCATAAATTATTATTCTTGTGATGTGTAACTGCATCCAAAAACAAAAGATTAAATTATTCATATAACACTGATTAATAGAAGTATTAAAATGTATGTGTTACACACTAGTCTATCATAAATTAAAAGCTTCTCAAAATATTCAGTACTTTATGTGTGTTTATTAATTTAATTATCTAGAACATAATACAGTATAATTTTTTATAAAAATTTCCATATATTATATGCACAATGACGTTTCCCACTTGTGTATATAATTTACATTTTAAATATTCATTGTTGTACATATTAAAATGTAAGGATTATTATTATTTGAATCATAACAAATGTATTTTGTTCTTTTATTAATTTAATATAAAGTTAAATTTAAAATATTTATTTAAATCATAGTATCGTGTCTTTTAATTTCATTCTACAAAAATGAAACAATATATTTTACTTTTCATCAATTAAAAGTTTTACAAAGTATTTATACTTTT